CACCCCCGAGAGCGTCAGATTCTCCTGAAAGCCGGTGCTCGGTCAGGGCGGGGGAGGGGCACAGGACAGAGCCCCTCTTGTCCCCTGCAGCGCCCCGTAGACCTGAGGGCCCCACCCCCACCCCCACCCACCAGGAGCCGCGAGGACCTGGGCTCAGGACCCAAAGGGTGACTCAGGTCAACCGCAGCTTCGGCCCAAATGGACACATGCAGCCACATCAGGGGTTGAGCGTCGACCTATGACCCAGGAGGTCAGGGTTCGATTCCCGGTCGGGGCACAGGCCCGGGGTGCAGGCTCGATCCCCAGTGTGGGGCGTGCAGGAGGCAGCCGGTCCCTGATCCTCTCTCATCATGGATGTTTCTCTCTCTCTCTCCCTCTCCCTTTGTCTCTGAAATCAATAGAAACATCTTTTTTTAAAGGGACATTTGGAAACACGGTGTTTGGAGCAGTGCCCGGGCCAAGGCCGTGGGTGTGGGGTCCTCAGGCCTCCGCGCCCCTCACCTTGCGGCTGGAGGCGGGCTCCGCTCGGCTGGGGCCCTGGCCTGCCAGCTCCTTCTCGAAGAGGTGACGCCTGCTGGCCACGCCCACGGGCGCCACGAAGACCTGGGTGCGGGAGGAGCCGGGGGACTTGACCGACACTGCCCTCTGGGGAGAGAGAGCACAGGCTGACCCAGGAGGCGGTGGAGGCCAGGGGCACCCCACACCCTCACCCTCCCCCGCGGGGGCCCCCGCCCCTCCCCGCCCACCTGGATGGCCGTGTGGTATCTCTCCAGCTTCTCGCCTAACTTGACCGGGAGCTTCATGCTGGCACTGCCGGGCAGAAGGACGGGATGAGATCGACCAGTGAGGCCCTGCCCCCCGAGACCAGGTGTGCACCCCTCCTTCAGCAGGCGGGGCTCCAATGGCCGCCCGTCCCCTCCCTCTGCACCACCGCCCGGTCCTGTCACTTCTACCCAAACACGTCCGTCCCGGACCCGCCTCGCCGCCTGCCCCACCCCTGCGGTCCCCTCCACACGCCCACCCCCGGCTGAGCCCTGACCCCGCACTCTCCCTGCACACGAATCCCACCCTGTCCTTCCACTCCAACCCTCAGGCCCCAGGACAGAGACCAAACTCCGGGCCTGGTCCCTGTCCCCCCCACCGGACCAGTGCCCCCGAAACCCCCTTCTTTACCTGCTTGTGTACCCCGAACCAGACGCGGTAGGCTCGTCACACTCAGCCTTTCCACAGGCTCCCCCGCCCCCCAGTTAAGAGGCACCCCCCCACTTCCCGTCTGGAAATCTTCAGTTCCACCCAGAGTCAGCTGCTGCCCTCGACACGTTCCCCAGCCCCCGCAGGCCGACACCTCCCGCTGGGCGAGGCTCGCGGGTTTAACTGCCTGATGTGAGTCACTTGAGGGCGGCACCTGCCTCGCGTCCATCTCTGTACCCCAGGCCCCCCGACCCCGAGGGCCTAGGGTGGCAGGTCTCAGCGAGGGTCCCGTGTGTGAGCTGTGAGCCCCTGAAGTCCCTACCGCTCCAGACGCCTGCTTTTCAGATCTGATTTCCGGGGGGTTTCAACACACAGTCCTCACACTGTTCCCACCAACATTTGGGGGCACGGGGTGCTCATTGAACATGCAGCTTCCCGCCCGGCCAGGGCAGCTCAGCTGTTGAGCATCAACCCGGGAACCAAGAGGTCACCGGTTCGATTCCCGGTCGGGCACATGCCCGGGTTGTGAGATTGATCCCCAGTGTGGGGGGCCTGCAGGAGGCAGCCGATCGGTGATATTTCTCTCTCGTTGATGTTTCTATCTCTCCATCCCTTCCCCTTCCTCTCCCTCTAAACCAAGCATGTCAAACTCAAGGCTTGCGGGCCACATGCGGCCCACAACGAATATTGTTGCAGCCCACCCTATATAATGGTACGTAAGAAACCTTTTAATAAAAATTTCATAACTTAATTTTTAGAATATCCTGTTATACATAATTATTCATAACGAACTACTACGTTCGCTAATGACTGGTTACTACAATCGTGTAGCATTCATTTCCCTTACGCACAGGCACACCATTTCTCTCCACGAATACCAGCAGCGAATATTTTAGCAGCCGATGGCCACGGCATTCGTCTTGGACTGCCTTGTGTGGTGTGCGCAACGGGAAATATTTCGCTTTCGGAGAACGAGAAAAATAGGTTTATTTGCGTGACATTAATTAATTTGTGCAGTTATTCAATGTCCGGTAAGTTAATGTTCAAGAAAAAAAAATACTAATTTTCACTAAAATGTTCTATGACTTTATGTTAGCGACGACTCACTTATTTCAGCCCTTTGTATTCAGCGCGTCTCTATCGAAACAAACCTCCGTTTCTATGAACATGGAAGCTTTTGGTTTATTTGCGGCCCACGTACGCTTAAACCTTGTTGATTTGGCCCGAGTTAGCCTTTGAGTTTGACATGCTTGCTCTAAACACTCAAAAAAAACCCCACAAACAAACAGATATCACACACACACAAAAAAAATTAAAATAAAATAAAAAGAAACATGCAGCTCAGCCCCTACTTCAAGCTAAACCCTCTTCTGACTTCGCAGCCCCGCCCACGCCCGCCTCCTCTGGGAAGCCCTCCCTGGTCCGCCCCTCAGGCTGCACCTCCCCGGCCTCAGTCCCTCCTGTGAACCCAGCCTCCCAGCCACTCTGGGGCCCTGGGTGAGACTGCACCCCCCCCCACCCCGCTCCTCCCCGTGTGCCCTGCGGCTCAGCAAACAGGCCCTCCGGCCCCTGACCTGCGGGTGAGGGTGGCTTCCGAGTTGGTGGTCCGGGGGCTCATCTGGAAGGAGAGAGAAAGGCACTGATGAGCGTGGGGGGCAGGGGGTCCCGGGGAGGCCGCGGCCTCCCTCAGGGGAGGGGCCCCCCTCTCAGACACTTCCTCCTCGCACCTCCCACCCTCCACTGCTCCGCTCCCAACCAAACCTCCATGACGGTCCCCCGTCTTGTCCAGGAGACACCTGCCCCCCCACCTGCCAGTCTGGGGAAAGCCTCTCCTTGGGCCCCTGTAGGTGTGTTTTGGGGGGTACCTGCCCCCCACCTGCCCAGGGGCCCTGTGGAGGCTGCCAGCTTTCATCCTGCAGTTCCGGATGGCACCACCAGGTGGGGCTGCTCCTGCGTGTCCACATCCACCGTCCAACTCCCCACCCACCAGGGGGCCCCCAAAGGGCCCGCTCTGCCCTCCTGGTGTCGGACCCACGACCTCTGTGCTGTGGCGGAGGCTGGTGCCCTGGGCTGGGCCTGCGCGGACAAGGCCCGGACGTGCCCGGGGGGTGGCTCACCCGGAAGGAGATAGTCCCTGGGGGCTTGGACCTGCGGAGGGAGGTGCTGTAGGTGGCCCCCGTGGGCGAGAAGGCATCCTCTTCCTCCTCCTCCTTGCTGGGAATTTTCACCTGGATGGAGGGGGCGTGTCACACCGGCCGCCACGGGGACCCCAGGTGGCCCAGCCCAGCCCAGAAGCCGCGGGAGGAAGTGGGGGGCAATGGGGGGGGCGGTCCTGGGCCTGCCTCTGCTGTGGGGATGGGAGACACTGTTCCCTGGAGCCCGGCCGCCGGGCACAGCTGCTGGGGGAACTCCCGGGGGGACCCCGAAGTCCAGGGCCTGGGTGGGGATTGGCTCCTGTGACCCAGCTGATGCCCCTGCCGTGATGGTGACGGGGAGCAGGGAGAGAGAGAGGACACGGCCCGAGCCGGCCTGAAGATGGGGGACGGGAGACGGCAAGGGAGCCACCGGCACCTGGTAGGACTGGGGGCGGGGGGACGGCCCACCTGGAGTGTGATGGGCCGGAGGCGGGAGGCCGCGGTCGGAGGGGTGCACCCGCCTGGCTCGGCCGAGGGCAGGCGGCAGTGGGCCCTGGCTCTCTGGCTTCTCCCAGCCACCGGCTGCTCCCGGGCCTGGGGCTGCTCCTGAGCCCGGGGCTTCTCCTCGGGCTGAGGCTGCTCCTGGGGCTGCTCCTCATCCTGGGGCTGAGGCTTCTCCTTGGGCCGAGGCCGCTCCTGGGTCTGAGGCTTCTCCTTGGGCTTCGGCTGGTCCTCATCCTGGGGCTGAGGCTTCTCCTTGGGCCGAGGCCGCTCCTGGGACTGAGGCTTCTCCTTGGGCTGAGGCTGCTCCCGGGGGTGAGGCTTCTCCTTGGGCTTCGGCCGCTCCTCGGGTGGAGGCTTCTCCCCGGCCTGGGGCTGCTCCGGGGCCACAGCCCTCTTGGGGACCAGCTTTGTGTCTGCGACCGGCGACTTCTCAAAGATCAACGCCTTCTCAGACACCCGTCCCCGCTCCGAGCCTGCCGCCTTCGCTGGGGGGGGCTGCTTCTCGGGGACGCCGGCTCCGGCTGGATTGGGTCTTTTCTCCCACACGTCCATCCTCTCCAGCACCGACTTTCTCCCGGACACGGGCGTCCCCTCGGAGCTCGGCCCCTTCTCCGGGCCGGAGGGCTTCTTCTCGGAGCCCGGGGGCTTCTCCGGGACCCCGCTCGGCCTGCCCCCCGGCTCTCGGGCGGCCACGCTCTCCTCCGCCCGGGCCCAGGGCGCCTGCTTCTCCTGGCTCAGTCTGCGGCGGGGCGGGGCGGCCACCTCCTTCGTGGGTGCGAGGGACGGCCGGACGGACTGCCCAGGGCCCGGGCTGTCCCCGCCCTCCTCGGCCTCCAGACGCTCGCGGAGGGGGGCCTGCGCGGCCTCCACCCCTGGCGGCGCTGGCGCCGCTCCCTCCGCGTCCTGAGGATGGCCTGCACCTCTCGCCCTCATCTCGGGGGGATGCGGGCGGTGCTGTGGGCACCTGGGTTTCGTCCACGCTGGGCAGCCTGGGCCAGAAGACGGGAGGGAGGGTCAGAGGGCATGGCATCTGAGGTGGGGGGGACCCCTGGCCACCCCACAGCCCACAGCCCACCATCACTCAGGTAAGGATCACACCAAGGGTGTCCGAGGTGTCATTTCTACAAGGCACCCTGTCCGGCCGGCGTGGCTCAGGGGTTGAGGGTCAGCCTATGACCCAGGAGGTCAGGGTTCGATTCCCAGTCAGGGCACAGGCCCGGGTTGCGGGCTCGATCCCCAGTGTGGGTCGTGCAGGAGGCAGCCGGTCCATGATTCCCTCTCATCATTGATATTTCTATCTCTCTCTCCCTCTCTGAAATCAATAAAAATAATTTTTTTAAATATATTTTATTGATTTTTTACAGAGAGGAAGGGAGAGGGATAGAGAGTTAGAAACATTGATGAGAGAGAAACATCCATCAGCTGCCTCCTGCACACCTCCTACTGGGGATGTGCCCACAACCAAGGTACATGCCCTTGACCGGAATCGAACCTGGGACCCTTCAGTCCGCAGGCCGACGCTCTATCCACTGAGCCAAACCGGTTTCAGCTAATTTTTTTTTTTTTTAAAAAAAGGGAGACATTCGGTTCTCCCTGGGCCCTTCTCTTCCGGGCCCTCAAAGCGAGGTGGCCAGACCAGCCTCCCCTTAGAAGGGGATTGAAGGGTCCGGGTTTGGGGGCACAGGCTGGGTTAGTGGGGACAGTACGGCCACAGAGCCTGACAGAGTGGACAGAAGTCCTGGCCCTGCCCCCTCCCCTCCAGGTGGGTCACCATCCCCTGTGGACACTGACTCAGGGTGTCCCCCTGTGAATGGGTTCCGGGGGCCTCTCAGAGGAAGACAGAGGGAGTCACGTCCATCCCAGGACCCAGCAAAGCCCGAGTTCACGGATAGGAATCAAGGAATAGTAGCACCTGGAGCCGGGGAAGTGGGCGGAGCAAGGCCGGTCCAGCAGGGGCTGGGGACGGAGGGGAAATTGACCTCCCTCTTCACACCCAGAGCCGCGTGCCCCGGGCCGGCCTCATGCTGCCGTGAGACGCGGACCCGCGGAGGATGCGCCACCCGGCCCCGCCCTGACCGCGCACCTGTCCGGGGCCGGCCGCCCTCCGTTCTGGTTCTGGGCGAACCGGGCCGACCTGTCGTCGTCCTCAGACGTGGAGCTGAGGTTCCGGTGGCGTCGCCGGCGCTCCCGCTGCTGCTCCTCCTCATCCTCCAGGCTCCACTGCTGGGCCAGGCTGGGGGCGGGAGAAACGGGGGGTGGGGGTCAGCGAGGCCCAGGGGACCCAGACCCTGGACGGCAGTCAGTAGGCCGGGGAGACCTCGGCCTCCCGGTGGCGCCCTGTACAGGTGGCTACGGGCGCTGCACCCACATGCGGTCAGTGCAGATACGAACTGTGCGTGGAAAGTGACGGGAAAGATAGAACCTAAGTCCGGCCGGCGTGGCTCAGGGGTTGACCATCGACCTAGGAACCAGGAGGTCAGGGTTCGATTCCCGCTCAGGGCACAGGCCCGGGTTGGGGGCTGGATCCCCAGTGTGGGGGGCGTGCAGGAGGCAGCCGGTCAGTGATTCTCTCTCAGCATGGCTGTTTCTCTCTCCCTCTCTGAAATCAATTAAAATACTAAAAAAGAAAAAGGAACTGAGACTCTATCCCAGGACAGAACCTCAAAGCCAAACACCAAAAAAGGGTGCTGGGCCGGCCGGCCCTCCCCCAGCGGGGGACGCCGCCTCCCGGGAGCCCACAGCTGCGAAGAGGAAGGAGGGAGCCCGGGGGCCACCGAGAGCGTGGGACTCCCCGCCCAGGAGCAGCCGGGAGAGCAGGTTTGGGGAAACCCCGTGGCCAACCCGCTGACCTCTGGGGCTCCAGGCCAGGCCCAGGGAGGGGCCCCTGGTTCCCCCATCCGGGCGGCCCAGCCACCCTCTCCCTGCGACACCCCTCCCTCGCCCCACCTTCATTTGGGGACAGGCACCCCCCCCCTTTGCCGCCCCGTAGAGCTGCGAACCCCGGCTGCTCTGGGTAAAGGAGGGGTGGTTGAGCCTCGACCTATGACCCAGGAGGTCAGGGTTCGATTCCTGGTCAGAGCACAGGCCCTGGTTGTGGGCTCCATCCCCAGTGGGGGGCGTGCAGGAGGCAGCCGGTCAGTGATTCTCTCTCATCATTGATGTTTCTATCTCTCTCTCCCTCTCCCTTCCTCTCTGAAATCAATAGAAATATTTTTTAAAGGAGGGGCAGGCGTGAAGGCTCCCCAGGGCTCCGTGTGAGGTACTGGCCGTGTGACCTTGGGCCAGTCCTCAGCCCCTGAGGGTTGCACACCATGGGGGTCCCCCGTGGGGGTCACAGAGGCCCCTCCTGGCCCTGATGGTCTGGGGACAGGTGTCCGGGGAGCCCGAGGGCGGCCCCAGGAGGGGGGGGGGCTGCTGGGGGCCGGGTGGGAGAATGATTAACCACAAGCTGCTGGGCCGGGAGTTCTCGAATCCACCTTCACCCCCCGCAGCCGGGCCCAGCCCAGCCTCGCCCACGACCGGCCGGCCAGGGAGGAAAGGACGAGCTGCTGGCCAGGCACCCGGCCAGCGGCTCACCGCGGCCCCCGCACCGGGCCGGAGCGTCTGAATTCCACCCCGGGCCGGGCTGCAGAAGGGCCCCCAGCTCCCCCAGCTCCCCGCCGGGGCCACAGGCCTCACAGCCGCCTCACGGCTCCCGGCGATGGCCGAGTGACTCAGCGCCCCCCCACCCCCCACCCCCCGCCTCCCGCTGAGGCTTGTTCCCGGGAGCCGGGCAGGAGCCGCGTCAGGATGGCAGCCGGCGGCAGCTGCCCACAGGGTCTCCCAGGGCCGGGCTGGGGAGGGGGGAGTGGGGGGCAGAGGGCCCCGTCCAGGATGCCTCTGCAGGGCCGCCTGGACACCGTGTGGAGTG